AGTTTGTTCCGAAAATACTCAATTCGCCCAATTGTCCCCAGTTCAGGCCCTTTGAAAACTATTGGGCAATCATGAAGATAAAACTGAAGGTAAAAGTACAGTCATCAAAACGGCAGCTTAGATGAGAAATTGGTGGGACAAAATCACCAAAACAGTAGACGAGTAATAATTCATTATGTTTTTATTCTTCTTAAAATATGAGGAACAGTATGCACTTGAGTGAAAACCGTTTTTAGATCCGTTAATTCAAATCCGAAATAGACCCAAATGATGATGTTCCATTACTAAGGCTGTGTTCCATTTGGTGAATTTTCACTTTTTGAACCCAGGCCTGCTGGGGTAAGAGGTAATCACACTAACCACTGCACCACCAGCACCGCTAATTTTGACACTTCGAAAATACATTACAATGTTCGAAAATCCCTCTGTTGTTGATCGTCCGATTTTCGAAAAGGTGTTTGTCAAAATTTATTCCTTGTCTGTAAAAAATAAGTCTGTTAGGCTGTGAACCATTTGCCGAGTTAACTTTAACTCGTGGTTAAAAGTGACATTTCGAAAGTTATTTTCTATGTTCGAAAATCCCTGTGCTGTCGATCGACCGATTTTCGAGAAGAACTTAGCCAAGGTTGTCAAAATTCAACTTCTTGTTTGTCAAAAGTAACCACGTTCGGATAGCAGGGTTAATCGATAACTTTCCATCTGTCAAATTTTAACCAAAAGTTAAAATAATCCACCAAATGGTTCAGAGCCTTAGAATAGCAGGTTTATTTCAAAAGTTTCCATCTGTCAAATTTAGGAAAAAATTCACCAAATTGATCACAGCCTAAGTGGGCCATGCTTTAGAATAAACATTTTCAAGCTTTCTCATTCCATGAGCACAATGTGCAATGAGCGAGTCAAAATTTTGCAATATTTGATTTTTGTTTTAATTCAAGTCATGAACAAATTTCTAGATGCATATCCTAGGCAATATTTTAATAATTTAACGGTGCCGGTGGTGTAGTGGTAAGCGTGATTACCTCTCACCCCAGCAGGCCTGGGTTCAATCCCAGTCGGCGCCGCCGGGATGTTCTGAGGCACAACATCTCTGAACACACCTTCCTTCGGAAGGGAAGTAAAGCCGTTGGTCCCCGGTTCATGAGTTGATGGGTCGATAAGTAGGGTCCAGGTGTGGGAGCTGCCTTCCTGGCACGTCGGTAGCATTGGTGCTCAGCACGGAAAACAAGATTGACGGAAAAAACAAACCAAAGGAAAAAAAACCCGAATTTATCCACCTATGGTGTGATCAGACCCTTCTTACTTATTCAAGTTTATTTATTTTATTGTCATTATCAGTGACCAAGCCCCCCACCTCCGTGTCATCCAGTGACGCTACGCCACTGCCTGGGGGTACCCGGAATATATCCGGGTGTAGTCTATTTGGTGAGGCTACCAATCACCTTATCAGCGTATTTTAATGTGATTTAATGGGTTTTAATTCAATTCATATTCAAGCAACTTCCCCGGGGTACCCGGAACATGTCCAAGTGTGTCCAATGTGGTCTGGAACACTTAACACGACTTGCATTGATCTTATTTTTGAATTCTGTAGTAATTTGATGTGTCGCATGATGGTTTTAATACGTTTTCCGTTAAATCCAGCGTGAAGGCCCATATTCACCGGATCTTATTCCGGCCATATCTCCGGAACCGGTTCACCGATTCCAAAACCGTTCAATAGCAGCGTTCAATGGGACCCCAAGACCTATCATTTGGCGCCGAGTTTGTCCAAATCGGTTGAGCGGTTGCTGAGAAACGTGAGCGCGTTCATTTCGTTACATACACACACACATACACACATACACACATACACACACACACACACACAGACATGTTCCGATCACGTCGAGCTGAATCTAATGGTATATGACACTCGGCCCTCCGGGCCTCGGATCGATAGTCGGTTTTTCAAGTGATATCTATACCCTTCTTTGTAAGAAGGGTAAAACAAATAGTTAAAGTGAAAAATTAAATTTTGAAATCACTCAAAATACTTTTCATTGAAATCATTATATCAGGGATTCTAAACATATCTTTAGGCCAATTCTGACTTAACAATAATTGGGACTATTTAATGCCCAATAACATTCGATCTAATGGCCTTCGACACACTTCATGTTCTCAAGCAAATTTCGAGGTTCAAAGACCTCGCATAAAAAAAATAATAGTTATGAGACTTAGAGAATTTGGAGATGAAGGTAGAACTTTTTTCAGAAATGTTGATCTTTAATAAAAATTGGTGTTGAGTTAAGGGATACGGGTGTCAGTCGTCCCTGGCTTCGCCTATGATTCGATTTGTGGTCTTGCACAAAGTTGCTCTGCATAGTTTGCCCAAAATAGTCAATACCAAAGTAACCAAAAGTTCTGATAAAAGGCTATTTGAGGCTTAAGCAGCTCGGTTGAAGGTGGTTTATAGAATTCTAAACAGCCTCATTTTTAAGTCGTTATAAGAACTTGAAATTTCCGGTACCATAATTGAAGAGCATTCTAAGCAGCTTCTGGTGGAACTTGAATAGCACTTTTAGAAAATAAGTTAAGGAAAGGTTTTTGTCCTCTACACCAATTTTATATTTAGTTCGCAATTTTATGAATGTTAATTCTAAAGTCAGGTGGAAGTTATTTTCTAAAGGCAGGTATGAACGTGTATTGATTTAACAGCATTAGAAGTAGTATAAGAGCTGTTTGAAGAATTAAACCCAGTCTTTCTGCGTGAGAGCCCCAGCACAAACCGCAGCGCCATCTGAGATATATTAAAGTGAGCTGTTGTCCCGCCTAATGTTGGAGTTTTAAGTGCTAGCTGACTGACTTGAATACGAAACACAACACCTCGATGAATTTTAAATTGGCGTTTGCTCGCATACACAGGTTCGAATCCAGGGAATTGCTCTTTAATTTTTTTTAATGTTTGGATAGAATATTGATGCACTGCATAAATATAAGAATTATAATTTAGTGGCTCAGATCATTTCATATTCAAGGACATGAAATTTTGCTACCAATGAAGACTAATCACGAATGACCGTTAAAGCGACTATAATAAAATGTGGGCTTTGATGGTTCTTTTAAGAAACTTTCAAGTTGATAAGAAGTTCAAGTTGGAACTTGTTCGGAAGTTTGTTGTGGCCATATTTTCAGCCTTGTCTGAAGTTCCTAAGAAGTGCTCAGGGATGCTTTTTTGAACTTTTTTTGAACTTCAAGTTCCTTGTGTGCTTTCTATAGCATTTAAAGTAGCCAGAAAATTTTGTTTTAACTTTATATGCACGTTATGGAACTTGAAAGTTTTGTCGGAACTTTAGTTGAACTTTATGGAACTTGAAAGTTCTGTCAGAACTTTATTCGAAATTTATGGAACTTGAAGGTTCTGTTGAAATTATATTTGAACTTATGGAACTTGAATGTTGGTTTTATCGTTGAATATGGAACTTTTGGATGCTTGAGTATTGAGCAATGCCTTAATTGGCAAGCAAATGAAGTCACCCAGGCATGGAAAATCATTTGCATTCATTTCGTGCATTCATTTACATTCATTTGTCCCTAACTTTTTTAACAACAGAATTCCGCAAAATAGTTTGTAGGTTTTGTTATTAACTACAACTTTTGTTAACATTTCAAATCCGTAACTCTTATGCATGACGAACCAGAGCAAACAGAAGCCACTACTGATTTTCAGTGAATGTATTTTACATTCAATGAAAAACAGTAACAAGTTCTGCCCGTTCTAGTTCGTGATGCATAAGAGATACAGATTTTAGTTATGTATAAAAGTTGTAGCTAATAACAAAACCTACAAAAGCTCTGTACATCATTTTGTGAAATGCTGTTGATGAAAAAAGTTAGAGGCAAATGAATGTAAATGATTGCATGAAAAGAATGTACATGATTTTCCATTCCTGAAGTCACCACGCTGTTTCTTCGAGCCTATCAAAGAGATAGCTTGGCAAAAGAAATGGTTGTTCGATTCGTACCGTCATCAAACATTGCTCTTTACTCAAGTATCTCCTTCAACTAAACATATGACATTTTCTACCCGTTTCCCATACATTTACCCATTTAAAATTCTCATCCAAATTCGTTCAAATTGAATAAAGCAAAAGAGAATTTGGAAGCAGTGGGTTGACACACCCTATTGTCTGCATAGCCAAAGAGAGATCTAAAATCTCTCAAAATCTGACTCTATAGTTTATGAACCAACCCAGACAACTAGTGTCTTCTTATTCGCAACTTTGCGCTGTAGATTTTTTCAATATGTATTTCCGATTAAAGCAAAACCATTGCTTCTTGATCTACCTCGATTAAATTTAAATTCCGACGTCTATTTATTTTTGAACAGTACCCAATATTCAGTGCGTTAAGTTTCATACGTACTGCCATGCCGTTTTGCCTCTCAGCATTCTTAATTAAACATTGAAATGCTACACTGCGGATCGTGTTTGGTAAACAAACAGATACTATACTCCAAAGCAAGCGAAAGGAACATAGATTGATGAAACCGAGAGAAAGAACGAGCAAAAAGTTTCTCACTCTAAAGTAAACACTGGGTAGGTATATATACACGTATCATCAAGTGAAAGAAAAACGAATGTACCTATAAATATTCATATTATTTTCAGTATATGCCAACTCCTTTTCACCAATGTAGCATGATTCGATGAAAAAGAACACATCCAATTTTCGTTTGATTAGCCAAAATACAAATAACAGCGATAGTTATATGTGCGTTGGTGGTTATGTTCGGATCCGCAGTCATCTGAATCTGTGTGCGGTCCGGATCGATCAACACGTAATCACATACACCTTATGCGTCCAAAAATCTAGGTCAATTGAATAATAAAAATCCTTCTCTAGAGGCATGGAGGAAATCCCTGTCGAATTCGCACATATTGAACCTTCGGCATTATTACCAGCATCGTCAACGCACTCATCCCCGCACTCTCACACCTACAACCTACAGCTATCCTTACCACCGAGCGGGAAAAACTGCGAATAGATGCCCTTGAAGGTATCCTCCTTGACGATCCCGGTGGGGCACTCGGCCTTGAAGCCGCGGTATATCCGCTTAATTTCGTCTTCGGTGAAGCGGGCAGTGCGCGTCAGCTCCACCAGCGAGTCCGGATAGTAGCGCTGGGGAACGGGCAGATCTTCGGCTTCTTCTTCTGCAGGAATAGAAGGGTAAAAAGAAAAATGGAAAAACGAAAAGAGTGAGTATAAATATTTCATCAAAGCCATCATCATCATCATCATCATCATTTCCCACCCAGGTCTTTTCGGGGTTGTGTGTCTTCTTGTTGGTAGAGTAGGACAGGCCAAAACGCACCCCTGGGTTAAAATGGTCCAGCCATGTTTTTCATAGTTTTTTCATTATCGATTCGCGAATTTAACGTGCAGCAGTCCAAAATGCATCCCTTTGCTAAAATGGCCCTTGCTTTCCCATTAATAATTCTGGAATTTTATGAGGCGAAATGCTAAGTACTGGGTGCTTTATTTTGAAAAAAAGCGATACATTTTTTATAGGCTACACACTTGGGAAAATTAATTTACATTTAGGCGCTCTGAGACTAACATATACGAGCGCCAATTTTGACATAAAATTGAGTCATAATAAACACAAAATTCAGCTCAATCAAACGTACTTTCCAACTTTTCAGTCTCGGAGCACTTAATTTTACATGACATGTTTGTTTACGACTCATCCTTTATGTCAAAGATGGATTCCGTCACGTGTAAGATTAGGTATTTCTAAGTGTGTATCCTTGAGTTTGATTCATAACCCCAACGTATAAGTCTGTGGAAAAAATGGTAAAGATTGATGAAGGTTTAGAGGTCGCGGTTTGAAATTTATATTGGAACTACTATGGAAGAATTAAAAAAAAATCACTTAAAAATCACGCCCTAACTTTGGTTCTACTTGTCCAAATGTTGAAATAGTTTAGTTGCTATGACTAGAGTCGGAGTATAATGAGTCACACCAAGAGAAAAACAGTTGAACTCGCATCACGGTTTTCGAAAGATTCCCTTTCTTGTCACTTGGCAACAGAGGACTTCTACATCAACTTCAAATGACTTTTCGCTTTAAAAAAATAAATGGCGGCTGAAGTGAATAATTATATCAGTGATTTTGTCAAATTATCTTATGAAAAATAGTAGAAATAATCATTACTGCTTGGAAAAAAATCCGTTCCTGAAAACGGGAACGGACCGTGAACTAAAAATCACGGCCAGCTATCCAGAACAAAATTTTCTCAAATATACACCGTGAACTATGGTTCACGGCTGTGGTTCACGAATATGGGAACTCTTTTTTTCCCGTGTGATCATTACCTTACGTATCCCATGACAATATAATGCTTATTGCGTGTTTATGATCATTTCTTCAATTACATTTTATATTTTATTGCAATACCTTTCGTGGACCTTTCATAGCATCATAATGTTTGCTTACTTTGCATGATAGGTAGCCGGTTTGACAGCTCAATAGGTAGACTTGGCTTCACTCTTGGCGTGACTCATTATACACCGACCAGTGTTGATAAAATTATGACCAGTGTTGATAAAAATCATTCCTTCTACTCTCAAACATATTTATAAACAGAGAAAGATTAAAATTAAACTATTTTATGGTTAAGCAATGTTTACAGATTGGTAAGATTACAATTTTCTCTAAAATAATACTACTTGGAATTCGTTTAGTGTATGCCAATGAACTTTGGCAGACTTTTATTAATGCAACACTTCGTCACCCTACTGAAGTTAATAGCATTCCTAACCAGGTAATTAACTTTGTCTTTCGCACGGAAGTTGCTCGTGAAATCTCCAAGGAACAATTCGAAATAACATTTTTTTTATAAATTATTGTTCCCTCATTCGGAGGCACCGATGCCCTTGACGAGTGAGGAGTCGCTTGTTAAATTTGTGAAGTGCCGTGTTCTACTGATAGTGTCCTCGAATTCCGCGGAAAAACCATGGTTCTGCTAAGGATCTGTAGGCTTTATCCTTCGAATACTTCACACGATGGTAAACACATTTTTTTCCTTTCCAGGATAATGCTTCCAATCGCTATCATTTGCGCGACTCCCGTGGCCAATACGTTGCTATCTATTGCTACTGTTGGTTGCGCAAGGAGGCTTTTACCCAAGTGGACAAGCTGACCCGTGGTGAAGTACATCTATATTTTGACTACTCCTGGCCAAGGCTATGACCGAAGCCAAACGGCGGGATTCGAGGGATTCAAATAAATAGGCAGCCGAGTTGCTGCTGATAGATATGACTGAGAGAGCCAAGAACTACCTACGACGTTGTATCAGATCAATTCCAACAATCAGGTCAATCTTCCAACTGAAAACATTCGGTGGTGACGCATCCCAGTGTTTGGAGAGGTTCCACCTACGAGGGTCAGAAACCTAAGCTAGTTGACATCTCCAAAGAGCTCACAATGCGTTGCAACGGAACGGAATAAGTTAAAAGTGGGTATTGTCAGCAGACCAGATCCGAATCTGGTTTTATGAGAATCGAGAATTACCTAACAACCAGTATAACCGTGCAGTAGCAGAAGAAGACTCGATTTCAGGTTTCGCATAAGTCCTTCCCGGAGAAATCCTTTTCAAGTAAGTTGGACTTAAGTACTCTTTTTGTGGAAATGTTTAAACCAAGCTTTTGAAATTTTCGGGTCTCCTCAACAGCTCCCATTTCGATCAAATGACGTTCGACGGAGCCAATCCCGCTGATATCATGAAGTCACCTCGGAAAACAAGTCCTCCCTGCGTCAGGTCAGTTCGGTGAAACAGATCTCCAGGCCAACAGGAGGAAACGAGTTCACTGCAAACAACTAACGTTTACCTGCTTTTACCAGGAGCCAAAGGAGAGAGGACTCCCAAAAAGCAGCAGCCTTCATTGATAAACAATGCTGCTTGAATTATAAATTAATTTAAAGTATATTTATTTCTTTGAAAATAAAATTCGATTTTAAAAATTTTATCTTTGTTCACGATTCAACAGTATTCAAAAGAAGTCGATGGTACAGTAACAATACATTTGACAAATAAAGCCCTTTTATACATCAATCACAGACTAGAACTTTATTCTTTGAATGAATAATCCAATTTTATACTAAGTTCACATTCTCTCTCTTTATACCGAAGGAGAGTTGCGATTTTGCGTAGCTTTTATACTAGGGGAAATTTCTTGGCTATGTATCTAATATTGGGCCCATCGCTATTTATCAATTTTATCTAGATGAACACGTTATTGGGACGTTACTAATGGATATTTTTGGTTGCTATTGAAAATTTAGTCGATTGCTGAATTTATGTATGGGCCCAAATTAGGGACACTTAAAAAATATTAAAATCTAAATAGATTAAAAGTTACACTAAATCGCAACTCTCCTAACCGACGCATAGCTTGATATAAAGAGAGAGAGAATTGGAACATAGTATAAAAATGGATTATACGTGAAAAAGCATTAAACAAACATATATGTGATGATTTATTTGTAGAAGTGCATTTTTGTCTACTATTTAATATTCTTGTTTAAATTGATTGTTTACAAATAAAAATAAAAGCGTTTGATCAAGATAAAATTATTCAAAGCAAAATATCGAATACATTTTACAGCTGATTTATCAAAATGACAATATCAACTAAATTCAGTAGCCATTCCTGTGCCACTAGAACTATGCTACCTACAAACAAGCAGTACAAGAAAAAGAAAGATCAGCTACCAAGCAACCGAGGTTTTCAGCGATGAAATCTGACCGATCCACGACCAGTGTAAACGAATCTCGGAACGATAATTGGATGCCGTGGATAATTAGAAGCTTTTTTCATCATTGAGAACAATACTCCTTTCTAGTGAATTTAGCTAATAGTAATGTTTAGCGCTTGACGGTTCGTTTGGTTCTTTTTGCTTCAGTCTATGCGTGTCTTTATTCAACATCTCTGGCAACATTGTTTGAGACTGATGTTTCCCTTGATTTGTTTTCCGTCGATCTTGTTTTCCGTACTGAGTATTGCGCATTTCACACCAAACTGTGGATTGATAGGCGCGTTTTCACTTATTAAAAAGTGTGATAAAAATGTGAGTTTTCGTCTAACCAAAGACACCAATTCGGTGCACTTACTCCTTGAGATGCAAGCAATAAGTGCTCCGAAGACACGAAAACGATTTGACGAAAATGTGTACTTTTATCAGACTTTTTGCATTTTTCGGGGCAGTCCAATTTCAGATGCCATTAGCAATACCAACGCTACCGATGTGGTGTGGTGTGGGGGAACAAAGACCGAAGCCACGTTCGATCATGCCGTGTTTGAGTTTGGCATTTAGCTGAGCGGAGTGAATGACCAGCCAACATTGAGAATGATATAGAAGAAAAATAAATCATATCTAGTTATTGTGTGGTTGGAATCGCCGGAGGAGGATGTCCGCGGAATGATGGTCATGCATGTCGGTTTTTCGGAGAATATCGTGTAGAATGATTCGGGCCCGTCTGCCATATGCAGAATGTTTACATTCTGTATATGTTGGACGAGTTCTGTGTCGTTTTCTGCCATTTTTTAATCAAAAGCTTATTGCATATCGCATATTAGCTTATTGCGTGCTCTCAACTTAGTGTTCTAGACGCACTTCCACAGTTATTAATTGAGAGCTTTCGATGCCTGTACCATTTTTGCATTGATATGATTGTGTGACAAGTCCAATCATACTTCTATGCCCAGGGAAGTCGAGAAAATTTCCAACCCGAAAGATTCCCTCGACCGAACCGGGAATTGAACCCAGCCACCTCCAGCATGGTCTTGCTTTATAGCTGTGCCTCTACCGACTGAGCTAAGGGAGGCCCCTTTTTAATCAATTTGAATTCATAATGTGTGAATCCGCACCATTGAACAACGATCATCGTTGGATTTGGTGAGTTTGTTCCAGTTGAAGAACGTTATTTATGCATAATCTTGATTTCTTGATTTTGTGAGTTTTTAGCTGATCGGAGTGTGTGATCGAGATTGGTGATGAAGGTTCTGGCCAGGGGATAGTCAACATTATATGGAAGTATCGTTATACATATCAGATTCTCGTGCAGCTTTAGAATTAACAGCACAACATTTATGACACAGATGTTACAAAATATCCATGTGATCTATTGGTTTAAATTATTTAAGTTTA